TGTGTGTGTGTGTGTGTGTGTACATGTATCTACAAGTGTGTATGTGTGTGTTTGTGCATGTGAGTGTGTATAAGTGTGTGTCTGTGTGTGTGTTTTTTTCAGGGTACCTGCCGTTTGTTGGACGTGTCGGCCCTGTGCCCCATGGCCCTGTGCCCCATGGCAGTGACGGGTACCACAGACACCTGGACCTCACCGGCAAGGTATGCGCCAAACCTTTGTCCATGACGGTGTTGGCGGTTTGGTCAGTGTTCTTATTGCCGTTGCTGCTGTTGCCTATGTTGCTGCTTCCGTCCCTAATTTGGTCGCTTTTAAGCACAAGTGGGCTATCCCGATAAATGCTGTTTTGAGAAAACCGAAGTTAAAGTTTTGGGATCCTTATTCAGTCTCATTAAAAGACAAGGAGAGTTTTCTCTATAACCGAACGAATATACACACACACATGTATATATATACGAATGAAACCAAACTTCCCCTATAGGTAGGGAAATGCTAACTTTTGGTGCAGGTCAAGATTTATGGAAACCCCCGAAATCTGGGTTAGCCCCCTTTTCCTTAAAAGCGACCATTTGATGTTGATGCACTTAGCAGTTTGGGGGAACTGCTGCTTTTTCTTTCCTCATCTTTACTCTCGTCATTTTTGCTCTACTTCTTTTGAATGTTTGTCACTCTCTTGTGAACTCCTATTTCCGTGGTGCCTTAATGGTCGAAGCAGGCTTTGTGCTGTCGAGGCTAGAGAGGTGAGCATAGTAAGCCTGATTCCCCGTTTGGACTTCTCTGTTGACATCCATCCCTTGGCTCTCTAGTCGTGACCTTATGCAGTTGCGAGCGCCGTAAAACATTACTAAAACTAAACGTTTGTGGGTCCCAAGATTTGTTTGTTTGTTGTTGTTTTTTGGTCTTTATGTTTGTGCGTATGTGTGTGTATGTGTGTGCGGAGGGGGGGGGGGGTAATTCAACGTCATACTGAGTGCAAGTAGGCCATAATTAGAGGGTCCGCCCTGCAATCAAATTTGGAGATTCATTTCTCCTAAATTAGACCCTCTGTCGACAAGATCGGTAGGAAGAGAGCTGGACAGGGGTCACGATTAATACGGCACTGGTAGTGAGGGAAAAAACACATATATTCGCTCCCTCCCCTTTCCGAATTCCCAAATCACAAAGTCAGAGAGGTTCTTGCATAAAAACGAAGAGTAAAGTTGTGAACTATGTCAGAGAAAGGCAAACTAATTAAACCAGTCACGCTTCACGCGTTTGTTTTTGTTTTTGTTTTTTTCGTTTTTTTTATCTGGTGAGTCTGTGAAAAAGAGCTTAAGAAAGATAACCGTGATAACTCTTAGTGTAATGTTAAATGAGTGGTAATTTCCCTTATCACCTAGCCTTTCACTTCGCGCTAATTTTTTCTTGAATATTCGAAAAAGTTACTTGTTTAACAAGCCGCACCGGTTCGAACCCTTGGTGCTGTATAGTGTCGCTAAAAGATTTTGTACCCTCTGCAGTGAATCCGATTTCAAATGGAGGCGCAATTGAATTGTAAATGGGCTGATTTATCGATGTCGTGCTCATACTGTGCGGGAACAACATAGCGGGAACTGCTGCTTTTTCTTTCCTCATCCTTACTATCGTCATTTTTCCTCTACTTCTTTTGTGTGTTTTTTGCTCTCTTGTGAACTGGTATTTCTGGGGAGCCTTAATAGTCGAAGTAGACTTTGTGCTGTTGAGGTTAGAGAGGTGCGCAGAGTAAGCCTGATTCCCCGTTTGGACTTCTCTGTTGACATCCACCCCTTGGTGCTCAAATGACCTTATGTGCAGTTGCGAGCCCGTAAAAGTAAAACCTTATGAAAACCAAACGAATCCGATTGGTTTGAAGTAGTGGTTCGTCTTTCACGCAAAATACATGGGTTTGATTACCACTAGCGAATGATGTACCTTATCGAGTGACTCGGTCTTTTTTCTAAAAAGTTATGCAGCGTGGATTGTCCTACTTCTTTTCTTTACCATAGTTGTTTTGATCTATCTGCCTTACTTTTCCCCCATTAGTAAACGGCGCTTGGTTGCGTTGTTGGTCACAAAGAAGTCGCAACTATGTCTTAAAAGAACAGCATATATTTGGCTTAGTGGGAAGTTGACGGGTGCTCTGCTGTGGTTTGCTCCTCCTTTCCTATCAAACAGGTATCGTCCTGATCTCCCCTCCTTCTTTTTTGTGTTTGTTACTCTTTTGTAACACCTCTAATCTTCGGCACCTATATGATCGAATTGTGTTGCAAGTAGTGCTGTAAATCTTGAACTAAACCTAAACTGGTGGGTTGTTGGCGGGTGCTCTGGTGTGGTTTGCCCCTTTTTTCTTATCAAACATCTATCGTCCTGATCTCTCCTCCTTTTTTGTGTTTGTTACTCTCACTCTCTTGTAACACCTCTAATCTTCGGCACCTACAGGACCTTATTGTGTTGCAGGTGCCGTAAAACTCTTTCTAAAAGCTAAAACTAAACTGAACATCTGCCTGTGATTGTTGAGATGCGCGAAGACATGGTTGGGGG